ATAACAGCAGTCTTCACAGGCTTTGTTCAAAGATATCACTAAGAGTTTCTTTCACGTACCAGAACTTTCTACACTTCATACCTTAAGCATGATAGGACAGATAATATGAACAACATTCAGGGTAAGATTTTCATAAAGTGTTAATAGGGCTCTTAAGGTATTGATTTTAACATTGATGAGGATGAGGACATATTGAGCCTTCAATACATGTTAGCAGTAGGTCTTACTCTGAAGGCCCAATGTTTTTCATATTCTTTGTCAAGATGGCATACACACCCACCCCCACCCCGACACACACACTTATATCTATCTATACATTAAGGTTTCAGGTGAATATTTACAAAGAGAAACAAAAGAATGCAATATTTCTTTAAAACAATAAAAAGGTTTATTGTGCTTTCATTATGAAATCCCATTTATCCTTTATCTTTCCATAAGTTGCTGCATGTCACCTATGGTGCCATTTTTTCAATGAGATCAAGTTTGTAGGCAGTAACATTGGTTTGGATGTGAGTTTATCAACTATGAGTGTACAACTTAGATGAAAAACTTTAAATATTAATTAATTAATTGTATTAACTAGTTGTTCAGTATGATGAGTAAAGTCACAGATATATCCCAGGAGCTACCCTTAGGCTTTTAAGAAGTGGTAACAATAGATAAACTAAATCATTTTTTTTTTTTTGCATAATCTGACCATCCACAGATGGGTGTATTTCATAAGGATGTCATTTCATTCCAAATCTGAAATTATTAGATCTCAGCATTTAAGTCACATATATTAATTATAAGAGCTCAAGGGACATGGATTGGGTCTAGGTACTATATACACATTTTCATGTATTCATCAACATGATATTGTACTCATTAAGATGTTGTTTTTTCACTTAGATAATAAAAATATAGATTCATAATTTGTACTATTTGAAATTAGCTAGTGTTAAAATAGCTTGCTTATACTTCCTCCAAGGTTAGACTTTGGGATGCCTCCCAAATCTGAGATCACTATTGAATACATAATGCTAAAAGCCATAAGGAAGATTCATTGTGTGATTAATTATGTGAGTATTTTATGTATAGCAGTTAGTATATAAATGTAAAACAAGTGCTATATACTGACGTTGTGTTGGTGGGAATAGAAGTGGGATAGAATATCGCTTCCAATCTAGGAATTATCCTGTTGCAATAGTTTGTGAAATTACATGGAAACAAAACATTTTTCTAGTAGACTACAAAAGGTCTTATATCCTTATTAACTTCCTCTGTGAAAATGTTTCCTGTGTGGTTATGTTTCTCTGGACAACATTTCTGATATAGCAAGGTTTTCTTAAAGAAATTGAGCGAATAACTGCTAACACATGTAATTTAGTAAATAATCTGAAATAATTTAAGATTTCATTTTAAAATAACCTACTTCCTTAAAAGAATATAGAAAATGTGAAAGGTCAACTTTATTAAGAATTGGCTCTCATTCTCCAGAACATTCCAGACTCCACTCTGAAATGTGATCATTGAGTGAGGGCTGCTGCTGGTAGGCTTATAATTTGTAGACTTCAGGCAGAGAATTTCAGATAGTTATTTTTTACTTCAAATAATTGGACCAAAAGGAGGTAAGTTTCCTTCAAGATTCGGAACTTTACATTAGGCAGCCGTACCACACGTAACTCACAGCCATTTTTTTAGAAATAAATATGAATGCAGAATTATGTTACTAAACTGAACATTCTAAATCTGTGGTGGCTTTCTTTTCCTACATTATTAGTAAATTTTTTTCAAAAATTTTTTTCACTATATTACTTTTAGTTAAAAAATGATGAAAATGATGATACAGTTTTTATTTATAAATTCAATGGTCAAGAAATATTGGAGGGAATAACACCAAATGGAATTTTATGTGGGTTTGCCAAATACACAATAAATAAATAAAAATTAGCTGAGAGGAAAATAAAATTCTTAATGCTATAAAATACATTGCTGTGTTACAGCTTTCTGAATATCAAACTGTGTCATCTGTTGCCTTTAAAATCTCAGGACCCTCCATCTTACTTTAAAGAGGATCTATGACACTATGTACATTCCTATAAAGATGGATTTTTTTTACTCAATACAATTATTTTGTCCAAATTAAGATTGTTTAAATGAGTTAATGGTCATAAAAATCTATCATACTGAAAATGAAAGGTAGATTTGGTGATTTTATAAAAGTGAATTAACATTTGTACTGTCAGTTTACCGTTAGTATGCAAATATTAAAAATTCTAGAATTTTTTTTTTACAAAAATATAGTTTCTAAGTCAAAATATCAATTTGTACAGTGTTTTCTTTAACCTATTGTAGATAATTTCTCAAGCCATGTTGTCTTTATTAAAAGATATACCATTCTTTTGGTGAATTATACAACATGTAATTTTATTTCAAGATGTTTATGTGTATTTATTCCTATTTGTAAATTTAAGTTATTAATTTGTTGTTTTAAACAAGGTGAAATAACAGCAGCAGAGAAATTTCATATACGTTTTTTTATTAGAGCTTTATAGTTATACATAGTAGATCAGTTCATCACAACAAATTCATACATGCATAGAAATTGATTTCAGCTCATGATCTCTCCCTATTCCCTCCTGCCCTCCCCCTCCTTTTGTCCTTCCTCTACTAGACTTCTTTCACTCATCTATTAATTTGTGTTTGATTGGGTCCTTATGTTATCCTATCCTTTCTTTTCCTTTTCCTTTATTTTATTCTAGCTTTTGCATATGAAAGAAAGCATTTGAACTTTGAGTTTCTTAGTTTGGCTAATTTCGCTTAGGATGATATTCTCCATTTCCAACCATTTACTGTCAAATGCCACAATTTCATTTTTTAATGGCTCATTACAGATATATTCCTCTAGTATGGAGGTGGATACATTGCTGTAGTATGCCAATATTAGATCTTTGGAGAAAATACTAAGGAATGGGGTATTTGAGTCATATGGTGGTTCCATTCCTAGCTTTTTGAGGAATCTCCATAAGGTTCCCAGAGTGGTTGTATTAGTTAGCAGTCCCACCAACTGTGTACAAGCCTTCCATTTCCCCACAACTCCATCAGCATTTATTGTTGTTTATATTCTTGATCATTGCTATTCTTACTAGAGTGAGATGAAATCTTAGTGTAATTTTGATTTGCACTTCCCTGATTGTTAGAAATGTTGAATATTTTTTCCTTTGGCTATTTGTGTTTTTGTTTTTGAGAAGTTTCTTTTTAGTTCTTTTGCCCATTTTTTGATTGGGTTATTTGTGTTTTGGTGTTTAGTGCTTTGCTTATTCTGGAATTAATCCTCTATTGGAGGAGTGATTGGCCAAGATTTTCTCTCAGTTTTAGGCTCACTGTTCATGCTCTTAATCACTTTCTTTCCTGTGCAGAAACTTTATAGTTTGATGGCATTCTACTTACAGATTCTTGATTTTTTTTCTTGCACTTTGGGGGTCTTATTAACTCAGTGCCAGCACCTATATATGGAGTGTTGACCCTATATGTTCTTCTAGCAGGTGTAAAGTTTCTGTTCTAATTACTAAGGCTTTGATCCATTTTGATTTGAGTTTTGTGCAGGATGAGAGATAGGGGTCTAGTTTCATTTTTCTACATAGAGCTTTTGAATTTTCCCAACACATTTTGTTAAAAAAGGCTGTCTTTTCTCCAAGATATGTGTTTGGCACCTTTGTAAAATATTAGATGACTATTAGTATGTGGATTTGTCTCTGTGTCTTCTAGTCTGTTCCATGAGTCTTCATATCTATTTTGATGCCAATACCATTGCTGGTTTTGTTACTATAGCTCTATAGTATAATTTCACAGTTGGTATTATGACACCTCTTGTTTTTCTTTTCTTGATTAGTGTCACTTTAGCTATTTTTGGTCTCTTATTCCTCCAAATTAATGTAAGAATTGTTTTGCCTAATTCTGTGAAGAATGTCATTAACATTTTGATGGGGATTGCATTGAATCTGTATATTGCTTTTGGTAGTAAGGCCAATTGAACAATATTGATTTTGCCTATCCAATAAAATTACAGATATTCCCACTTCTAAGGTCTTTTTCAATTTATTTCTTTAGTGTTCTGTAAGTTTCATTGTAGAGCTCTTTTACCTCCTTGGCTAGATTAACTCCCAAGTATCTAATTTTTTTGAGGTTATCACAAATGGGATAGTTTTTCTGATTTCTTTCTTGGCTGAATCACTGCTGAATATAGGAAAGCTATTAATTTATGGATGTTGATCTTGTGACTTCCATACACTTCAAAAGAAAAATACCACATTCTGATTCTATTTCTTATAACAACTAGAAAATGAGTAGATGTAAATGTATACCCAGATATATGTTCCCACCTTTAAAATTTCAAAGGAAGATCTTGATTTGTCATGTTCATTGTGCTTTCTGAAATAGTCTGACCTACTTTGATAGCTTTTTATGAAAATTTGATAAAAATATAGGTATAAGATTGTTATAAGTACAAATGTTTTTAAGGCAACTCCACATTACTTTTAACTTAAACATCACTGTCCATCTTCAATATAGAAGTGTTTTCATACATAGCTGTTAAGTTAACTGCAGATTATTCTCAATCTCACTTTATATTTTTCAGTTCAACTCTTTGCTTATAGTTTTCAGTCCTTGAATATTTTTTTTTGTCTTTCAACAAATTGAATAACTTATGTTTTAAAGTATCTTTACAAACATGAGAAGAAAAATAGTAAATAAAAACTGTTGGAAAAAGAAGTTTTCTTGAAAGCATCAATTTCTTATCCTTTTTGTTCCTGGTGAAAAATTAACAGTTTATTATAATATTCATAAGTCAGAGTATCAAACATTGGAAAACACAAACAAATATAATCTCTATTTCTGAAAATCTTTTTCTTAATTTTTTAAATCAATACTTATGCTACACCATATCAATCCTTCTGATATTGGTAGTATGCTTGTTTAAAAAAAATTAAGAGTTAATTTTATGTTCTGTTCAACAGATATTCCACATGACATATGATCTCGCCAGTGCAGTGGTGAGAATATTTAATCTCATCGGCATGATGCTGCTCTTGTGTCACTGGGATGGCTGTCTTCAATTCTTGGTACCACTTCTTCAGGATTTCCCACCAGATTGTTGGGTGTCTCTAAATAAAATGGTTGTAAGTAATTTGTATTATTTTACACTTTGCCTTTTCAGTGTTTTGCCAAAAAAGTATTTTTGTGAGAATGATCTGATTTCTCTCTCTTCATAAATGTTTAGAGGAAATTTGGTTTTGCTTCCATGGATATGTAGTAAGATGAAATAGATTTTTTTTCTCTATCTAAATTTAATTTTCATGTTCCTGGGAAAGTATATATTACAACATATTTTAAAATATTTTGCTCTACTTACATGGAGACATTTTATTTCAAAATAAAAACACATGCAAATAATCACGATACAATATTCCTTTAAAAATGCCTATAGCTTAGAATAATTCTTTCATGTTTTTGTTTGATTTTTAGCATTTATTATTTTTAAGCCACAATTGTAGGGATTGTAAAACACACAAAGACTTATACCTAGAGGTAAAAGAGATATGCATAAATCTTAATGCTGTTTCAAATAACACTTTTTGCTAGGGAAAACTTTATGGAAATAGTAAGTTTTAATTTTAATTCTAAAAGACAGATATAAAACTTGTCAATAGAAATCTTATTTCCATAGCTAAACTATCTATATTCACATTTAATTTTATGAGCATATATTTTGAATTGAGAACTTATATTCACATGAATCTCTCCTTCATTTCATTCGTATCTGCTTACTTCCTCACAGAGACCTTCCCTATCATGGTAATATGTATATCACTCAAGTAGTTTATATTCTGCCATAAAAGCATTTAGCAAGACTCTTGCACATATTCTCTCTCTCTCTCTCTTTCTCCCTCCTTCCCTCCTCCCTGCTTGCCTCCCTCCCTCCTTCCCTATCCTTTGTTATTTATGGTTTTTTTGTGTTCCTCACACCATAGTTAGTACAAAAAAAATGTTTTCTTATATCTTTCATCTACAGTGCTGCTCTTAATTGATTTGGGGCTATTCTAACAAAATATCATGGTCTGTGTTATTTACAAAAAATAAAAATTTATTTCTCACATGTCTAGGTCCAAGATGAAGGCACTGCAAACTTTGCCTCTGTTTCTGAAATTATGCCTTTATATATGCATTCTCTGTTGTTCACACAGCAGAAGGTGGAAGCATGAAAAACTACTCTTGCAAGCCCTCTTCATAAGGGCAATTAATTCACTCCTGAGGGAAAATACCTCCATGACCCCAACAGCTTCTGTTAGGCTTCATCTCCTACCTTTTTTGAATTGGGGATTAAATTTCCAAAACATGAGTTGTGGGACACACATGTAAATCACAAAGCAAGTAGCCAGAAAAGTACCTATGATATAAATTTGATAACCTAGTGCTTCATCATCAAAACTCTGAGAAATGTTCTTTAGTGGGGGAGACTGCATGACTGAAGAATAAAACAAGGAGTTGATGAGCTCACTTTTCCAATATGTGGTGTCTCTATGATGATACATCTGCCACTTTATTATCTTTGAAGAAGCAAAACATATGGTAAAGGCAGTAATAAAGATATTTTGGGGGAGAGGAAAAGGTAACGGCTCTATAATCTAGCTTCTGACTGAGTGCATAGTATAAAAACACAAGCACTGCTGCCAAAAGATGATTCATCATTGGCATCAACAATATTTAATTTGGCAAATAATTATTATTTTAAATTTTCCTTAGGCATCTTTCAGAAAAATACCAATTATCATTATTGAAAGAGTAAAAGAAATATTTTTTGTGTATCTATAAAGTTTATTTAATTATATAATTCTAATACATGGCAACATATTAGTTGTTAGAGTTAAGCACATTTATTGAAGAATTTTAATGTCTTAATGGCTTTTCTCTAAATACATCTGCATGTATTCACGAGTGTATATGTGCATGTGATGTGCATCATCTAATGTTGCCAAACCTCAAAACTTTGTTCTACCTTAATGTTGTGTGATATAAACACCTTACTTGAAGTTATAATTCACTTTAATTTGGTCTCTCTTTTTCTTTTTTTTTCTATAAGGTTTTAGTTTTACAATTTTGAAATTAGCTTTTATTATCTTTCACATTTTTAAAATATTATTTCCATTTGTATCTCTAACATAAAGGGCAGAAAATAGTTAAGTATCAGATATTTTATACATTGTGGATATCAGTAATGTGAATGAAATAACAGTCAATAATACAACAATTTTTGTATAAGATAATCTTGATGGTGTCATCATAGCTCATAATATTTTCCATTTTAAAGTTTCAGATTTCTAGGAAACCTTCTGCAACAACAATAATAAAAAGTGTATTTACACAGAGTTATATTAGAGCAGTAAAAATCTAATGTAAGAAAAAATATCCTGCATTTATTTAATACTTTTACTGTATACAAAACACTGTGCTGTAAAATATGCTCTTATCAAATGTTCATAGCAGTGTAATGAGCCAAGCCTGTTATCTTGATTTCATAGTTCAGAAAACTGAAACTTTTACAAGTTCAATGAATAGTCCAATATACCATGGGTAGAATATAAAACCATAAGTAGATATGTATCTAATTCCATAACTTTTGCTCTAAACCACATTATAATGTCATGTTGCATAGATTACAAAGAAGAAGTAAGAAAAATAATGAAATCTTAGTTAAAAACAATTCAGTTGTAGCAGAAAAATCTCTCTAAAATCAGCATTTGAATTCTGACACTAAAGAGTAGCAAGATTGGGGCTGGGGATGTGGCTCAAGTGGTAGCGCTCTTGCCTGGCATGCGTGTGGCCCGGGTTTGATCCTCAGCAACACATACAGACAAAGATGTTGTGTGCGCCGAGAACTAAAAAAAAATAAATAAATATTAAAATTCTCTCTCTCTCTCTCTCTCTCTCTCTCTCTCAAAAAAAGAGTAGCAAGACTATGTTTTCTAGATGTAAAAAAAAAAATCAAACTGGGAAATCAAAAATTGAGAAATAAGATCCAGATGAATGCAGGAAATACTAGTCCTTTCTAAATATGGGTTTGAAAATTGTGCTATGGTATTTGGCTTTGGTGTTGAATTATTTATGTTAAAGATTGGTGTGCTTAGCAAACACCTTACTTTTTCTTTTATTTTTAAATCTTCTATCTTATATTATTTATTTCCTTAATTATTATTAAGCATTACATATACTTAAGTTCTCTCTAACTCTATTTTCTTTTATCAATGTGTATATCCTATTAGCTAGTTATCTGTACATAACCAGCAATGATAACTTCCAAGTCAATGGTTTAAATGCTACATCTTTAACTATGGTGTTAGTAATTTGTTTAATATAATCATTCTTACATTAATTGCTCCTAATTTGTATTTGTTCCATAAAAGTAGGTTCATATCTTCTCAGCTAATCTCTTTGAATTCCTTATAAATTACTTTTGCTTTATAAATATATCTAAGGGAGTCCATGTTTTCTACCTACAATTTTATTAATGTAGGGTTACATATTGGTGATGGTTTTAATGACTTAAGTATAAGAACACATATCAATCTCTTACCATCTGAATGTACCACATAAGGTAAATGGATTTGCTTTTGCAGTAAGAGCATGTTATACTGCAAGATGTTACATTAAATAATTCTGGTTTATGGGCATACTAATAGAATGATTCATTTATAAAAATCCAATGCTAAATTATATCATATTACACTGCTGGACAAAACTTTTACCATAGTCAAAATGAGAAAAAGATTAAAAGTCGTTACTCATTATATAGCACACTCTATGAAATATAACTACTTAAGAGCACTATATTTACATTGTATGCAATTACCTAATTATATCAAAACATTATCCATCAAAATAAATTTACATTAACATATGTTAATGTAGCTAGGCACAATGGTACAGGACTGTAATTTCAGTTCCTAGGGTTGGGGAGTGGCTGAGGCAGAAAGTTCACGAGTTCAAGGCCAGTCTGGGAAACTTAGTGAGACCCTGTCTCAAAATAAAAAATAAAATTAAATAAAAGGTGGGCATGGTGGCACACAACTGTAACCCCAGAGGCTAGGGAAGTTGAGACAGGAGGATCGCTAGTTTAAAGCCAGCCTCAGCAATAGTGAAGTGCTAAGCAACTCAGTGAGACCCTGTCTCTAAATACAATACAAAATAAGGCTGGGGATGTGGTTCAGTGGTTGAGTGGCCCCGAGTTCAATTTCTCATACCAAAAATTAAAATAAATAAAATAAAATATAAAGGCCTGGGGAGGGATGAGCTTTGTGGCTCTCACCCCTGTGTTCAGTCCTCAGTAACCACACATACACACACACAGACACACACACACACACACATGATATGTTGAATTATTAATTTTGTTAGTATTTTATTAGCAAAATCATTTTTTCTTTAGCTATGTTAGGATCATAAGGTAAATAAATGTCTAGTTTATATTTGTACTTATTTGAGAAACACTATAATCAAAATAATTTCATCATTCATAATTCTCTCATTGTAAAGGTTTTTGCTGTTGTGATTTAAAGGAATCAATGCATTATTTAACCTAGAGGGCAGTCCATTTGTTTTTATGAATACCCCTTAAGTTAGTAACCTTGCATAATTGGAAGGATAATTGTGAACAGCATCTGTGAAACATGTGTAAGTTAGGTGTAGTGGCACATGCCTAAAATCCCTTCGATTTGGGAGGTTGAGATAGAAAGCATTGAAAATCCAAGACCAGCTCAGAAATTTTAGAAGGTCCTAAGTAACTTAGCAAGACCCTGTGTTAAAAATAAAAAGTAAAAATGACAGGTATGTAGCTCAGTTGTAGAACACCTCTAGGATCAATTCTCGTGGAAAAAAAAGAAAAAAGAAAATAACAACAATAAAAAAAACATTTTAATGGAGCTATTTTACATTTAAAAATATATATTTTTATTAGTTATTTAAAAATTCATGACAGTAGAGTGTACTTTGACATATTATACATGTATGGTGTATAACTTGTTCTAATTAGGATCCCATTCTTGTGGTTGAACATGATGTGGCGTTACATTGATTGTTTATTCATATATGAACATAGGAATGTTATGCATTCCTTCTTAGAGTT